GATGATGATGCGAAGGAGGATGGTTCCTTGGCCGTCTTGATGTTGATGATGTTGCCAGAGATCTCGATGCTGCCTCCGCTCTGCTGGTAGGCGCGGTCCTTCTTTTCCTTCTTCCAGCTCGAGGGCGGCCCGCGCGCTCGCTCCATCTTGGCACCGAGTCGCGCCATCTCTTCGCCAATCTTCATCATCGCAGCAGACGACGCGCCGTCGCGTTGGCCGTGCTTGTCCATCTCGACACCGAGCTCGGCCATGCGCTCGCCTAGTTTCGCCATCTCATCGCGGTACTTGGCTTCCTTGTGCTCGCGCTTGGCATCGAGCTTCTCGCGGCGCGCCGAGTGCTTCTTGTAGATCTTGAGCATCTTGGCTTCGTAGCTCTCCTTCTCTTCGTCGAGATGAGCCAGCTCGCGCTCCATGGCCTTCTCGTGGCGGACCTTGCGTCGCTCGGCGTGACGCGCATGGCGGCTCTGTGCGACCGCGTCCTCGTGCACGGCGGCCGCGGCCGCGTGCAGCTCGCGCCGGTAGTCGTGGTCTTGCAGCCGCTTCGCATGGTCTTCCACGGTCGCTGCATGCTTCTCGCTTCCATGGCCCTTCTCCATCTCGTCGTCGCGGTCGCTGTCGCTCAACGAGGCCATCGCCTTCCGTCGCGCCCGGCGTCCCATGATGGCGGCGACCCGTGCAAATGTTCAGCGGGCTTGCCGGGAGAAAGCCGGAACCGTCTCATTTCGACCTGAATTTTAAATACACTGGAAGTTTGTATGAAATTCAAATCAAACGTTCTTCATTGCATTCGGCATGTGCCACGTCAACGCCGAAAGTAAGCAAGGACGTCAACCGCGCCCGCACGGCAGCGTCCTCGCCTAGCCATAGACATCACTTTGTACAGCCAAAGAAGCGAGCACCTAGGGCCGATATTGTTATCTATTCCCTCGGGTCCTAGAGTGTGGATCACGCCTCTGGTCTCGCCTCTGGTATTGGATGTGGTTCGATATCAGAATGGCATATGCCACCCTGATCTGTGGGTGCAATGTGGCACATGCCGATGATTACACGTCCCGATGCGACATGGGATCTGCATTCCCATAACGAACGTTGGTCGTTGGCTTCAACGACTGTGGAGCGGCCATTTCTGGTTGCAAAGCATGAGCCTCGAGAGAAAGGTCGAAGCGATCGCGGCCAAGGTCGAGGCCAAGATGGACCGGCTGGGCTCGCGCATGGAAGCATCCAGCCATGACCTTGAAGGCAAGCTGCGCATGGGCGTCTCGAGCGTCTTCAAGTGGGTCAAGGAAGCCTTCGGGTCCGAGGACGACCGCATCTACCAAGCCGTGCGCGACAACAACGTGCCGGGCCTTATCGCGCTGCTCGAGTCGCTCGCGCCGGACGCCAAGGGTCGCATGCTCGAGTACCACGGTGCGAACGGCCGCACGCCGCTCATGATGGCCTGCGCCAAGAACCACGTGCAGTGCGCACAGATTCTGCTGACGCACGGTACGTTCATTGACGCCAAGGACGACAAGGGCAACGCAGCGTTGCACTACGCCTGTCTCCAAGGCTCCACCGACGTCTTGCAGTACCTTCTGAGTCTTCCTGGTGTCTCGCCGTACCTTCAGAACCAGCGCGGTCTCTCGCCCATGGATGTCGCCCGCAAGAACATTGAGAACAAGGACTTTGTCGCAGCTTCCGCCCAGTGCATCCAACTCCTCGAGCAGCGCGCCTTGGTCTTCCAGGGCTGGGTCTACGAGAGCGTCGACAACCTCGCCTCCTCGATCGTCGGCATGCGCTCGCTGCAGTCGTGGACGCGTCGGTACGCGCTCGTCCTGCGCGTCGGGTCGCCCCAGTACCTCGAGATTGCACTTTTCGACATTGAAAATGGCCAGCGCTCGCCGCTTCCGAGGTATATTGTGTGCAATATTGTCGATTGTTCGAAGTGTATGTACACCTGTCTCTAGCTCGACGATTATGTTTCAAGTCGCGGGGCTTGTGGCGCTCAACACCAAGGAAAAGGTCTTCAACGACAAGCCATTTGCATTTACATTCCAAGGCGCCCGGCGCAAGAGCGCGGGCTTCCTCGGCGCCGCCCAAAC